GGAGGACTGGCTATGGGTATGGGTGCGGGTTGTCGGACCCTAGGGAACGCTCCCGTTCGAGCGGGGACCCCCATCCGACAACACACACCCATAGCCCTTTCCGACTCCCCTATGGGTATGGGTGTGTTTTGTTGGTTCGTCACCGAAGGCTTCCTGTGCGCGCCGCCAGGTCTTTGAACCACCGAAACGACAGTGGCGGCGGCGAGGCTGGGGCCCCGGCTGCGAGCGCTGCGGCGAGGCAGAGCCCCAGGCGCAGGGCCAGCCGTCGGCGTCGGCGGCGCCACCCCGCTCGCGCTCGCGGTGCCTCGCGCTCCTGGCGGCGGCTGTTCCCCCTCCTCCCTCTGGTCCCGTTCCTCATGTCTCCTCCTGTCTCATCCGCCTCCGCCTCCTCCTCCTCCGCCTTCTGTCTCCTCAGCTTCCCCTTGGCCGGATCATCCTCCCTCTCCTTGCCAGTTCCTCCTTCTCCTCCTCGGCCTTCCTTAGTCATCCTCCGCCTCCGCCTGCTCCGCCTCCTGCTCCACTCTCCTCCTCCTCCTCCTACTCCTCCTCCTCAGAAATGATAACTCGTCCCTCTTCTTCCTCCTCCTCCTTCTCCCTCCCCCCGCCATCTTACAACATACCTGGCCTTCCCAGACTGACATTGGCCGTCGCCGTGGTGGTTGTCGTCGTTTTGCTCGTCGACGTCACCGTGGTCGATGCTGTCGCGCCCATCGTCAGGCGTTGCCGAGCCCATCGTCGGCGCTGCCGAGGGCCGCCATCGTCGCCACCACCGTAGTCGTTGCGCTCCTGCGACGGAGGGGGGCGATGAACACCCGTCCTCCTCCTCCTCCTCCTCTTCCTCCTCCTCCTCCTTCTACTCCTCTTTTCTCCCTCTCCTCCCCCTCTCCCCCCTCCCTCCCTCCCGCCCTCCCTCCTCCCTCTCCTCCTTACTTCTCCCTCCTCCTGCCTCTGCCTCCCTTCCTCTCCTCCCAATCCCTCTCCACTTCCTTTTCGTTGCAAATCAACCCTCCCCGTCGCACCACCAGGCGTGTCCTGAGGGAATTCTGCTTTTTGTCGCCTGGGAGTTCTCTTTACCATTTGCGACCTTGTGACTCGACATTGCCGCGGGGCGCGGATTGAGAGTGGGCCGTCGTCAGAATGGTGTTCTCACCTTGGCGTCGCGCAATGGCGTCTTGTCAGTATCCAGCAACTACACGGAGCTCTCGCCCGATATGTTCACACACGAGAAGAAACCTGACACAGATGGAGGGCGACTCCTTGGACTCTCGGTTGAAACGTCGGTGGGCTTTATTTCCAGGCGTCTTAACTGGTGCAGCAGTTACGCCTTTGGAGGACCATTCCTTCTGAAAGCAGGGCTGCCAATCGGCACTCACATGGGCTTTATGGCACGGGGTGCTTGTGTTTCAAAGGAGAGCATGTCGCTGTGACAGGGCACAAGGAGCTGACGATGCGGGCCGTCCACGGGCTCCTCGTAAGCAGGGGGTCGTCGGTGGGGGGAAGGAGCAGGAAGGAACACGGGGGGAATCAAGGGGTCCAGGATGTTTTGGACATGAGGGGGGCGGGATGAGAAAGGAAGGCTGGTGATGGAAAAGGGAGGGGAGCGGAGGAGATAGGGAAGGGACGACGGCGAGGTCACGAGGTGAGCGGCGAGAGGCAATTTCAAGCAGGCCCCAACGAGCTCGGGGCGTGCCGCCTCTGGCGCTTGAACTGAGGCGCTGAGGTCACAATGAGCCTACGCCTGCGCGTCGTCCGGTGTCACCCATCGTAATGACAGTGAGTGGCAATGGGGATGGTCGACAAAATGAAGGGGGATGGGGGTGCGAAAGAAAATGGAGGATGATAATGACGGAGGAGACGGGAAAACGAGAAGAGGTGATCGGCGCCCCTGCCATCGCCAACAAACATAATTACGAGTAGGGAAGTGAAGGCGAAGCGGAAGAGAAACGGGATGAGGATCGGGTGGGCGATGGGGGGAAACGGAGGAGGACGAGCAGCAGGACTTCGGAAGAGACCGAGGAGACGAGCGCACAGATAGGAAGGGTGATGACGAGGAGGAGGACCAGTGGTAACCCAAGGCGCATCACCGATGTTGCAATAAACCCTCCCTCCATATTCCCTCTGCACATGGCCCTAAACGACATTATTTTCATTGCGGGGAATGACCCATTCGAAGACAACCATCTGGAAATCTTCAACCGTGCCAAAACACCATGCCTGAATCAACGTAACTGTTTCGACCTGACGATCCGATACCGCACCAGAACACCACTCCTGGAACTTCAACTGCGTGAGCCTTTCAAGCTGCACAAACATTTCAAAACGAACGTTCGCGACGATTAGGCGAGAAACGCAAATTCAAAAGAACCGCCCTCTATCCTTGAAACAATTGCACACATGTAAACGAATGTACACAGGGCTAGAGCGAAAGCTACAGACTTGAAGCTCTTGCAAACGTTTGGGACACATGTGCGCGGCGCTAAGGCGGGGGGCACATGCTGAAAGCCCTACAGTGGTGAAGCTGTGACGGATTACAAGCTTCCAGCTCAGAAACGTTTCAGAAATCTCAAACGAACCGCCATGCCCGCCCTAGCGAGTCGCCTGGTGGCGCAATTGGGAGGAGCTGTTGTGAAAGAAGGCGGAGGGGAGCGGGGAGAGGGAGGCGAAAGGGACGAGGCCGAGCAGCAGGGGGCGGAGGAGGAGAGGACAGGGAAGGAGGAGCGGGAGCGCCAGCGGAGGGATCAAGACGACGACGAGGACGAGGACGACGCTGGCGAAGGCGACGACATGCCAGCTGGTCCTGCGCACGGCCTTCTCCTCCGCGCTCCTCTCCTCCTTGTGCCTCCTGGCGGATCGGGACTGCCGGGGCCGGGCTCCGCTCGGCTCCGCCTGCTGATCTGCATCGTCGCTGCTCCCGCCTGCGCCCCCTCCTCCCCCCCAATTTTCTCCTGCCGCCTCTCGTTCTCCTGCTCCTACTCTCCGTCCTGTCAGTGCGCCTGCCCATCGCCTTTGCCAGCAAGTCACCAGAGGCACTGTTGTGCAGCATGTGATGGGTCGGTCCAGTGTCATAGCCCGTGCTGCTAGTAGCCGCCTGCAGCGCCTAGTCTGGTCCCCACCGCGGCTGCTTGTTGCGCAAAGCGTATGCCACCCAGCCCCTAGCAGCAAGTCGATGGCGAAGCGATGGAAGTACTTCTCCACAGGATTGTGGGTCTCTCGGGCCCTGCGGATGCAGAACGCTCAGAGATGATCTCGACGATGTGCCAGTAGTCT